ATCATCACATTCTGAAGAAGGTAACAGAGAATAATATCCAACAGGAAAACATAAGTTGACTGGGAGGGTTCTAGGGGGCGCCACCACCCTTAGGAAGGTCCTTAGGAGAGTTGCCGCCCGTGGAAGGGTTCCTGGAAAGGTTCCTGGGGGTGCCGCTGTCCCTGAAAGTGTCCCTGGTGGCGCCACTGCCTCTGGGAGGGCCCCTTGGGGCATCGACGCCTCTGAGTGGGCCCTGGTGGCGCCATCACTCCAGGTAGGGTCCCTGGGGGTGCGCTGCCACACCTGAGTGGGACCCTTGGAATGCCACCAGCCCCTGGGAGGGTCAATGGGATGGTCTCTGGAGGCGTCGCCCGCCCTGGGAGAGTCGCTGAACGTCTCACCGTCCATGGGAGGGTCTCCGGAAGCGCCGCCGCCTCTTGGAGGGTTTCTGGAGGCGCCGCCGTCCCTGGGAGGACCCCGGGAGACGCTGCCGGAGGGTCCCTGGGTCCAACACCACCCCTGGAAGGGTTCCCGGGGCCACCGTCGTCCCTGGGGGCGCTGCCGCTCCTGGGAGAGTCTCTTGGATAATCTCTAGGGGCGCCGCCGCACCTGTAAGGGTCCCTGGGATGGTCCCTGAGGGTGTCGCCACCCCGAGAGGATCCCTGGATGCGCCGTCGTCCCAGGTAGGGTCCCTGGTGGCGAAACCGCCCCTGGGAGGGTCCCTCTGTTCCGTACTGCTGTCATGTACTGGCTCTTTGTTACGCACTGCTGGCACTGTGGGCATGTACTGGCTCTCTGTTACTTGTTGTTGGCACCGTGGGCATGTACTGGTTCTCTGTTACGTACTGTGGGCATGTACTGGTTCTCTGTTACGTACTGTGGGCAAGTAATCGTTCTTAGTTACGTACTCTTGGCACAGTGGACATATACTGGTTCTGCGTTACGTACTGTTGGCACTGTGGGCATGTACTGGCTCTCTGTTACATACTGTTGGCATGTAATGGCTCTGTTACGTACTGTTGGCATGTACTGGCTCTGTTACGCACTGTTGGCACTATGTGCATGTACTGGCTCACTGTTATGTACTGTTGGCACTGTGGGCATGTACTGGCTCTCTGTTACGTACTGTTGGCACTCTAGGTATGTACTGGCTCTCTGTTATGTACTGTTGGCATTGTGGGCATGTACTGGCTATGTTACGCACTGTTGGCAACTTAGTAAACACATTAAGGCGATTAAGGATTCAACCTTTGCCGCCCAAGCTTAGGTCTGAAACATTGCCGTAGAAAAGGTGAGGTACTTCCCCGCCTGGAGTACTGTCACCTCGTCTGGTCCCCGAGATATGCTAGGGACACAGTTGATTGAAAATGTACTCAGGAGGGCCACCACCGGCACGACATCTACCCTGAGAGATTAGAGGGCCTGCAACTGCCTATCTCTCTATCTATTAGCCTACTAATCAGCGGTAACCATCCAGTAAGGTACGGTTATTACCATTATTGTAGTCGGGGAAGTATTTCGTCTATATTTTTCCACGTAAGGTTTTCTTAGTTAAAGGCTTAATTAATTTGAAAAGTATTATATTATTCTTAGATAAAGCAAATGTGTTTTTAATATTAAAGTATTTTTATGATATAATTGAGCAAGTCGGTAATGTTGGCAGCCCTGATTCGTCAACTCGTGATTTTTTTTCTCCGAAGCTAGAGAATTTAGAGTACTGTACAGTATTCTTATTTCTATTTGTTTTTCCATAAAGTTTTCCTTATTGTTTCTCTTCTATACCACGATATAAATTAAGTTACGCTGGACATTAGTGAGTGAGAAGTGAAAATGATGTGTGGTGGTATGCAGTGAGAGGATTTGAGTCTCTTTCTGTACCAATAGAAACTTCGATTTATATTCAAGTTTCAATATCCTCCAAGTTTCATGAGGAAGATGTCACTCATTTTACTTAAGTTTAGATGTTTCGACTGACTGACTGACTGATTATTATTATTATTATTATTATTATTATTATTATTATTATTATTATTATTATTGTTTCATTAATCCTATTATTATCATTATTATCGTTGTTGAGAAAAAAAAAGAGCTGAAACTGTAATATTTTTACCATTTATCTCTTTCTTCTCAACTACTGTCAGTCAAAAGCTTTCATACAAGTAACTAATCAATAGAGCGTTCTAAATTTAAACATATATGATGTCGCTACTGATGGTTTACTTGGCGGACTGTCAGAGGCAGATGTGTTACTAATGAGGGAATGTGCAATGGTTCAATATACAGTAATACTCTAAGTCAGATTTATCATCCGAGATAATATAAAGCGTAATGTTTACTATGATACTTTATAATAGAATCATTATTGAAGACAGGGTGATAATTCTTCATGTTAACTTAAAATTTTGTTCCAGCAGGCAATTCTCACTTTATAAGCTATAGTTTTTGTAAATATTTAGCCAGCCTCATGAATGTCTGTCCTGACTGATCAACCAACTAGACAGATGAATTTTCCTTCCTCAGCCCATCACATCAGCTCCTGCGATGTGCCACATAAAGACAGTTTATAGATGACACACATGATTAGGTACAACACATGTGGTTCTTCCTTGGCTTCTAACTTAGTCCAAACTAACCTAACCTACCTTGTCTTTAACCCAACTTAACCTAACCTACCTTGTCTTTAACCCAACTTAACCTAACCTACCTTGGCTTCTAACCTAACTTAGCCTAATCTAACCTTGCTTCTAAATCTTAACTAACCTACCTTGGATTGTAATCTAATGTACCTTGTCTTCTAACCTAACCTAACCTAACCAATCTCACGATCTAACCTATCCTAACTTAACCTACCATTAATTCTAACCAAAGCTAACCTAGACTGCCTTGGTCTTTAACCTAACTCTAAGAACCCTCAGACTACTCAGTGGAAGTTAATTTCAATCGTTATTACGTATACCAAGAATAACAGAAACTCGTGGTTTCTGAAAGAAAAAGAGCTTTAACTTTCCAACGGCTCTTTACAGTTTATTTTCAAAATCAATCCCGAATGTATAAATAAAGGTAAAAATATACCAACAGGTAAATTTCCATCATTATCCCAAAGTTGGTTGTGGGTGACGCCTATATCTGGTTCGTGCTAGTTGTCACAAGTTTGACAGCATCACTGCGTCATGCGTCATTACTTCTCACCCACTCTCCGTTTCCCGCCTTCAACACTCAGGGTTCTGTTTAGTTAACTATTGATTATGGATTAGTACTACCAGTTAACAGTGCAATTTTCTGGCTAATCTTTCCTCATTTTTATCTTCGTTATGGTATATATTCTTGATAGACAAAATATGAACTTGTTGTCCAGTAGAGTATACAGGTATATTACAATAAATACTCAAGGAATATATATATATATATATATATATATATATATATATATATATATATATATATATATATATATATATGTGTGTGTGTGTGTGTGTGTGTGTTGAAAATACAAAGAGAGCAAAAGAAATTAATATAGCTTCTAATATTACATGTATGTATGTCAACCAAAGACGCATCAGCCCACTCTGTTTCTCGTACTGGTAATTTTACCTGACAATACTTGGTAAAGGAAGGCTGTATATAATGGTGAGTGTGAGTGGTGGATCTATTTTAGGCCGTATCACTGTCAGGATAAATATTAAACAAACCAAAGGTAACACTTTTATAATATTAAATTTTCATTGTTATTTAAGGTCATGAGAAGTTTCCAAATGCTGGTATATTTGCTTAAATAATGAAGAAAATTATACTAATGAATTGGAAACTTAACTACAACCACAGCTGCCACTAGATTCTCACAATGCATCTTTGGTTGACTGTACATGACTGGCGGCGTCCAGTTACTGCTTGCGGGTGGCGCCGACGGTGGCTATTTCTGTAATGAAACAATAAACGTACTATATTATACGGGTATCAATGTTTCTGATATTC